GCTGACCTGATAATAATATCATTAACTCTTTCCTTCCTATCAAATTCCCATGTGGCTGATAGCTGATACAAAAGGAGGTACATCTTTTTTTGCTTCCTTTCTTTTTTTCTTTTAAAAGTAATTTACAGCAATCGAAGAATATGTAGGACTACCATACTTAAACACAAACTACGTAGTAAAAGACTTCGAACAAACACCCAGTAAATGTCATCACACTGTAAACACACAAAAATTCATGTATGAGGTTACCTGCAAGAGAAAGAGGAAGGCAGTGCGTTGTCTTCCACCCTCATCATGGCAATCCAAAACTGGACATGGAAGAGCCTGCTTGGATATTAGCTAATGTCCTTACTGGCAAAGTACTGGGATAAATTCCCCAGGGGGTCCATGGGGTCTTCCACACTTAGATCTTTAAGAACAGAAATGATCAAACACCTCTAAGGTATGGACAAAATGCATTTTATCTAACCTATTCACAGAGAGGTAGATCAGAGAATCTCATGTATATGACATAAAATCATTCCCTCCATCTCATGCAGCATAAATAAATTCTTTCTTGGAATCTCAGTGCGAACTGATGTTTAGCATCTTAAGACAGTGGTGTTTAGGAGATAAAGAGCTTCTTTTCTCATTATTCTCTTCAAAACATTTGAAAAGAACTAACTGGACAGACTTGTGCATAGATGTGTGTGGAAACAAACCATTTAAAAGTAAACTGAAGCCAATCTTTACTACTTAAACCAAGATTTATTTGTTTGAAGGTAAGGCATAGTTTTATTCCTTCTTCCTGATCAAACTGCCAGCTAAGAATATTGACTGTTTCAGGCGGAAATACTGAGGGCTTTCTGTAATGTATGCCATGCCTCAGAGGAGCCAAACCAGAATAAATTCAGCATCTGAATTCGCTTGCAAACCCATCCAACCCAGGACTAATAACCTGTGTCTTCAGAAAATACTCCAGCATCAGACATACAAGATAGTTATTGTGCAATTAAGAACAATCCTCTGACTCTGAGATTCTCTCTGGACTCACCAGGGAATGCAGAAAAAAATAACTGGAACTGAACAAAGAAGCAGCTTATCATCTTGAAATATGCCGGGTTAATCGTCCCTTTAAAAGCAAATGTATTAGGAAAACATTAGATCCTTAGCCCTCTGTGACATAATTACACAGACTTCTGATTAAACAGAGGCACTCATTAAGTAAAACATTTTATTTTAGTTTCTTGCTAGTTGTTGGTATTATTGGGCTTTCTGCCCAATTCCAGCCAGGCTACCATATGAACAGTGAAAACAGCCAACATTGTTAATACAATAACAACAACAACACTTGGCACTTCCATCATTCCCTTGATCTCAACATCTTAAAGCAATTCACAGATATTACTTGGTTGCACCACGTGACAAAATGGTTGGGCAGGTAAGATTGATCACACATTTTACAGATGGATAAAGCTGGGTAGGAGGGATTCAACTGGTTTTCCCTGGCTGTTAGAAAGTTAGTGGTAAGATCCAGAAGTCCTAACGAGAAACCACTTGGAATTACTGTTTTGATGATGACTGAACCTTTTTTCCCCCTCCTTAATCGCTGTTGTCCTTTATTACAGCAGAAGAGGGCTCGTGCCATGAAAAATCAAGCAGGGATGCAAATCATGGTGAAAAGGCAATTTTAAGCATTGCTTATTATTTGTGGTTTAAGAAAGCCTGGTACAATTTCTCTCCAAATACATTTTTTGTGATTAATATAAAGCAGGAAGGATCTAATTTTGGCCAACTAAGACATAAAGTTTGCACTGGGGGATAAAGGTCTAAGCAGTAAAGGGGGAAGGATGTTTCAGTTCCAAGTTCACCAAATCTGGCTCTTCAAACACACGTAGAGAGAGGTTTCTTTGCAGAGCTTCCAGTGATGGGAATGGGAGGAGAGTACTTTTACCTGGGATATAGGGGTACATTTATAAATGTGCAACCTTTGAGTTGTCTCAAAAATCCTCCCGTTGTCCTGATCCACCTTTGGCAAAGATACTCTTCTCCCAGGGGCTGTATGAAGGGGACTCCAGCAGACTAGAATCCAAGTATGGATTTATGCAGCCAAACTTAAAAAATAAGGCTCCCATCTACAGATGTATGTACATGTCTTCAGCCTGAGAAAGGGTGAAACAGCTTTCGTCCTGCATCTAAAAACACTTCATATGTTAAAAGCTGAGCAGGGCTTACATTTGCTGCTCATGGTATTGCTTCAGGAGAAAAGTTCTGCAGAATGTAGAGTTTCCCTTCACATGGAGAGGGTTTAATTCTCAAGCTTAATAAATATTTCTCAGTGGTGTGCTGGATAGTAAGGAGACTCACTGGTGATTTGCCAGATTTCTGCCAGAGCAAAATAATATTTTTCTTTTACCTAAAAAAGACAACTTTGATATCTAGGAGCATGAAGTGTTAAACTCATCTTAGGCACTGAGGTTTAGAAACAAAATCTCACACAGCGCATATAAATATCATCTGCATCCAGACTCCATCAACGTGGATTGTAATTGGCACACTGTAAATTATCTGTTACTGATACACACCAACACCCCCTGGTTTGTAAGCTCAGGTGCCCCTTCCTGGCTACAAAATATAAAAACATAAGTCCTATATGTAAACCTAATGGAGTCAGCATCGGAACAAGCTTTTAGATCTGGGTGTATGTATTACAAGAGTAACAGAGGTGAAAACCTGCTTGTCACTTATTCAACTGGATATGAATGGCTTCAAAAGAAACTCAGGAGTAAAAGATTAAAGGCAAGATGACCATGAACTCTCCTTTCCCGAAAGAAGTTCAAAGCTTCCTGATTTAGGTTCTTATCGCACTATAAAGAGGGGAGCAAGTAAGATAAAAATTTAAAAATAAATGATCTTTAAGAAATTATCCTCATCTGAGTGTCCTCCAATATGTCTGGTCCTCTAAGTGTTAAGTGAATTGTAACTAGATCCTAGGGAGACAGTTGCAACCTGGTTATCAGTGGCAGTAAATGGAAGATAATAGCCCCACTAGAGAGTTATGAAATGGCTTGTCTTTGAGCTGCCAAAGTGTTTAGGCTCTCTTTTATTATATTCACAGCAGTAATCCGATATGTCCTGACTTCTGTCATCTGTATGTAATGCTTATCAACTCTCTGCCAGTGATTCACCCCCTTGTCAGGGACAATTATTCCTCAAAGTGCTGAGGTTACAGCCGAAGCAATATTATGACTGCAAAGAAAATATGAAAGGTGCAGCACATCATAGCAAGCAACCTTGAAGCTGACGTCAAAGTGGAGGAGAACATTGTTGACAAAAAAATAAAGCATAACAGGAGTGTTGCTCCTATAGCAATCCTGAGCATTGCTAGGGTCATACATACCTATGATGATGGTGATGGAAGAGTTTCCCACTATTTTATAGGAGGTGTGTTTTCGTACTTCCCTGGTTAGGTGTTTCTCTCCATTTCCATTTAAAGCCACTTAAAATTAAACAGGCAGAGTGTGTTCTGTCCCTCTAAATTTGCAGACAGAAGTTCAGCCCAGGAAATTAATTTTCCTCCAAAGGCTCATAAAATGAAAAGCATAATCTAAGTGACAGAGGGCCCAACTTGCAGTTTTCAAGTTGCCTGAAATTACAGTAACACCTGTGGTAAAGTTCTGATCCAAGCATGTTCAGACCAACCTGTTTCCTCACTCCTTCAGATGCCCCAGGCAAGTTTTGTCATCAATTGTCCTTGTATTGCGCACGGATCAATTAATTTGTGAGAGTAAAATAGATAATCTTGAGAGAGCAAGAAGGCATTGGGGATGCTAAAGTCGGTGTCCTGGCACTGTGAGAGCAGTACTGGAGAGCAGAAGGCAACCTGTGAACCAGGGCAGGCCCTTGGGGCACCAGAAGCTCAAGGCCACTGGGAGAGGGAGAACGGCTGCGACATTTCTTTGTCTCCTCTCGTAGCAAAGGGAAATGGTGGCTTGGGAAGCTTTGTCAAGGGCAATGAGGAAAAGCAGCTGGTCAGTGAACATAATGGTGGAGACAGGGAGGCCAAAGAGGGGTGCCAGATGGTCCCAGGGGCCATCCAGTTGACCAGCAGCAGCACCTATGCCCTGCATGCACATGTGGTATCAATCCAGCACGGGCTCTTGGGTGTCGGTCAGCACATAATTCACTTGACTGAGGGTTTGAGCCTACAGAGTAGCAGAAGTGGATTGAAACAATGCTTCTGTGTGGTGTTTTGATGGTTCTTAGGCTCTAAAAGTACAGTGCAAACTCTGTGCTCCAGTGCATTTTGTGAACAAGTGGTTGAGCAATTCCATTTCCCAGTTTAGAGGGTCACATGGGTCCAATTATGAGGGAGGGTCCAGTGAGAAGGCAAAACAAGTGGGGTAGGAGTACAGAAGGAGGGAGGAGGCAGCCAGCATTGAAAAAAAATAATGTTACAAATCATCTGGCTAATCAGAAAGTGGAGTCACTTCTCTGGGCACAGAGATGAGTCCAAGCCACGTCTTTTGTCATGTTTGGTGCTGTCACTGGTGCTGCAATATTTGGTGCTTCCTGTCCATGGTGGACAGGCACCAACAGGAGCCTACAAGGGTCTCAAGGGCCATGAGCAGCAGGGTTAGCTGTCCTTTCATAGGGAGGGAAACGGAGCCTCCAAAAGCGATGAGGAGAGAGAATGAATCACTGTGCCTTGTCTAATATATTGCAGTAATGTAATATAACAGCAATAACCCCCAGAGTACCATCTGGTGAACTTGTGACTAAACACAGCTTGTTTTGCTCAAGGCACACAAGCAATGGACAAGTATATATTTTATTCCTTTGCTTCACCTTGCCCAAGCACAAGTGGTAGCAAAACTATTTCTGGGAGTTTTAGGCCATCTACAAATCAGAGCTGCAAGCACACAGGCAACTCGCTCTGCAGGAGGGTGCTCAGCGGTGTAAACTCCTGAGTGTCAGTTATGGCCACCAGAGTAGAAATCTCAGCTATTCACTGCCTGTTTCTGACACTGCAAAATTCCCTGTTAAAGTCCTGTGCATAGGTGGATGTTTCAGGTGATATTTTCCAGGGATGCAGGAGGCCGGACTCACCCGTGAAGAATATTGGTGACTAGTTGCTCTGACCTTGGTCAGAGTTAATCCTGCAGGAATGAAAAGGTTCAGATTTCAGTACTCACCGGAAGAAAAGAGAAGGGAGGGAGAAGTAGCCCCCTACTAACATAAAGACATGACCAGTGGCTCTGCCATCAGTTACAGCATTGCTTGCATTTGGCATTATATTATGAAAATATCTATTCAGAGTGGAAAATAAGATCAAAGACAACATTTCCGTAGCGGTGACTTTAGCTCCACTTCACTCTGCTCCCTCTCCTCCTCCCGTCCTTCGCATTTCAAGGCTGTTGCTCTATTCATCCGCTCTATGCCACCCCAGGTTTATAACACCACATCAGCAGCAGCACTAATAACCCGTGATTCTTTTCCCCTATTGTGTTTGTCAGAGTCAGTAATCTGGGCACTACAGTAGCAGAGCTACTGAAAAGCTACAGTGTGTTCCTATAGCAACCAACTAATCCGCAGGTGGAAGGTGATTGGGCACCTTTTGCACCGGAACAATAATTTGAAAGATCTTTTTCAGTGTGCTGTTCTGCAGCATGAGTTCATTGTATTGCAACCCACCACGAATCATTATAAGCTGTCATGAAAATGCAGCCACGGCTGCACAAATCACAGCGAGGAGAGACATGTCTTCCAGCAACAAGCCCTTGAAATATTTCATGGCAGGTTAAGAGGCCAAATTGCGCAGAGCGAGATGTATTGTATAGGATAAAACAAAGGGCTTGTATAATAAGCTGATGCTGACAGTCTCCGAGTCAGGGAATCCCAGTGAAGTGTAAGGCTGTGCATGAATATGAGTTTTTCTGAGCTGTGGAAGGAAAACAACCATAATAAAAGAAAGCTCCGGGCAGAGCTCCCACATTCAGCTCTTCCAAAACCAATTACTCCCACCTGGCTATTCCCATGTCTCCTAAAACATCTCCTGTTACAGAAGAGAATTTAATGTTTTCTAATTGAAACCTCTAATTTAAGGCATTTGCTTGCTTTCCTCAAAGTCTGAAATCCTGGCCTGGACTTTCACAAGGTGATTAGATATTCTAGAACTTTTAAATTTTTAGACACTCAAATTCAAACTAAGAAACCTTCAAGAAATACACAACACCTTTCTTCTGAAAGTCAGGCCTATTCATCTTTCTCACAGTAAGTAGTCTGAACTTGAGGTAGGGAGTGATCTTCCCTACCCGTGGCAGAGGTTTTGGAATGAGATGATATTTAAGTTCACTTCCAACCCAAAGCATTATAGGTTTCTTTCCAAGTAACCCATCTCAATCCATGGAGGAATTGCAGCATAGGTAGTCAGAGAACAAACATCTTCATATCAACCTAAAGCAAGGAGTCCTGTCATTTGCAGTCTATGTCTAATTTCTACTTATTTTTCTTTGAAAACACTCGACTAGAAATAGTAGATATAAATAGAAACCTCTTAAAGCTGAGTTGTACAAGCAGATGCATTTCCCACACAGCCATTGCTGTGGAAAGTGAGAGCAGATAGTGTAAAGGATGCAACAGGCACTGTCACAGGAAGGCAAAAAAGGAAATCTGTTAAAAACTTCAATAAAAAGAGAGAAATAGCACAAGTGCTTCTTTACCTCAGTTTAATCACATTGCAGAAAGAATGTCTTTATTAAGTGCCTGGACTTAATAAAAATGTCAAAAACTCTTATTGCATAAATCAGCTCTTTCAAGATTTGTTGGAGTGATGGAGGAAAAACCTCAAAAATAGAGAGCAAACAGAAGTTTAGTTACCAGGTTATGACTTCTCAGGTTGCAGCTTCAAAAGCTTCCCTACATTTACTGGCCAAAGATTCCAACCTGGGATGCTTCCATCTAAAGCAAATTTCCTGAGACAATGAAGTCAGTGTCTCATTTACAGCTGAAGAGTTTTATGAAGCAAGTGTCCACTCAAAGCTGAATCAACAAATAAACAAAACAGAACAGATGCTGCTTTTATGACCCATTTTTTTACTCATCCCAAAGAAGGATGAGTGAAATGGATGAGGCAGGTTCACATGCTCAAACCAAATTGACAGAAGAAAAGCTTGAATGGGGTCTAGGATATTTCCCAGGGATATTATTAGATTATTGAATATTCTACAGCAAATATCAGTGTCTTTCCCCTTCTTCCCCCTCTTGCCTTTCACCTACAATATAATTCAGGACATTTTCCCAAAGAAAGTTTCACTGAAAATGGCAAACGTCTCTGAAAATTTCTTAATAACAATTTTCCAGCAAAACATTAAAAAATTCTTGACCATCTTTAATTGTGAAATGTATTGATTGTTCCTCGCAAGTAATTCATGTCTTAAAATGACATATTTATGTTCCTTTCAGAGGGCTTGGATAGATAGCATTGTTTTTCTTTCCAAAGCACATCAAAGAGCCCAAATTTTGGCAGGCTTTCTGTTTTCTTAAAAAAAAAAGGGGGGGGGAGAAGAAAGAAAAACATCAGCAAAACAAAGCTAAGAGTAACTGCTCTTTTCTGAAGAGTTGTGGGCTTCTTCACTTCTAGATTCATGTCATGGTGCTCACTTCAGGGAGCTGCTGAGACAGAGAGCCTGGAGGTGGGGAGGTGGAGGGGAATGGGAAGATCAGAGAATTGGCACGGGATAGAGAGCCTTTTGCCTCTTGATGTTCAGGCTGAATCTAGACAAAGTCAGTCATAAACCAGTGTCATCATGATTTTTAAACACTTTCCTGGGCTATGTAAGCTCAGACTGTAGCCTCTAACACAGGGGACACATTTCCACACATCTGCAGCTGGGACTTTGACAGCCCTGGTGATAACTGGTCTCCTATTTGTAGAGTCTCCATTTTGTAATTGAATAAATTCCAGAAAATGGTTGAATTTGGGTTAATCATGGCTTTTTCCTTTCAAGACAGGTAGGTACCTGAAGTGCATACCTTTTTTTTTTCAAGGAAAAAAATCCTGAGAAGCTCACCCTTCTACTCAAACGTTCAGAGGAAGTAGGTTGGTATTGCTGCAGAAAGATCTTCAAGTTTGAGTATGTTATTGCCCAGATCTATTTTTTTTAAAAAAATTTAATTTCTCTGCCAGTAAGTATAATTTACTTGTCACAGAATTGCACTCCTGTGGCAGGATCTGATGTCTGTCCTGTTTGTAAAATACCACACACTGTTGCCCAGTGTTAAATATAAAGGAATAACATCAAAACAACGCAAAAGAAATGCCACCAGCTCTTACTCTGTGAAGCAACCTTTACCTTGATTTACTGTGTAACCAGGCTTGTTTATTGGTGTTAGGATCAGATTATTTTAAGGCTTACAATTCTCCTGTAGACTGTGCTATGAGTGGTAGAGTTTCCACAGCTTCCCAAGCAGAGTTGCTTTGCTCTACACTGAGAATAAGATATGAGGAAAGACTAGGAAAAGAAGTTATACCAGAGATAGTCTGAGGGAAATGCCAGGAGTGCCTGCTTTATCACCTAAACTGTTGTGTCACACTGAGCTGAAACGTGCAAACCTTTTCCATCGGGGCCTGTCCTGGGGTAAAACTAGTTTTGACTTTAATGGACCTTTTAATGGACTGTAATCATCCAGCAGCCCATACACAATCCTGCAGGAACTGGCAGTGCACGGCATTTCTGCAAAAGGATAGAAAATCCCTGGAGTGTGGTATGGAGCTGCAGTCTGGCACAGTTCACGCTGTCCCCAGACCTCAGGCTTTGGGGAAGGAGCAGAAAGGCACAATGACAGGGCAGCTGGTGTGAAACCCCCTGAGCTTCTCACCTCAGAGTGATAAACAAAACGAGCATCACTTGGCTAACTGGTAAATGACTGGGGTAAAGAACAAAGAATATGTACTCTGGATAAAGATGACAGGGTTCATTGCTACAACAAATCAGACAATATGTGAACTTAGACTGTGCCCTATTACTTGGTACAATTATGTGACCTTGTAACAAAGCCTGGTGAGGATGGCAGCAACACTGCACATAAAACAGAGCCTGGTGGAAAGTTGTTATTCTTCAAACTCACATCTAGACATCTTTCAAGTGATTTCAGAATTTAGGGTGAAAGTGGATCTTAGGCCTTTTTTAAAAAGCCATTTCAAATCCTCATTCATATCATAAATGCTTTTTTCTCCTTTTTTCTGCAGGCCACTGAAATCTCTGGGGCCATGACATTGTCTGGCACTGAATGCAGCCCCTTTTTATCATTATAAAGAAATAATGAAAGCATATGGTGGAGAGGCGCTCATATTTCAGTGTTTGGTGCTGTCCTCCTTCTCCATAACCAAGCACTGAAGAATATATAGTACAATGAGAACATTAATTATTTCCAATACACTAACAGAAAATTCCTAATAATTCAAAGTCATCCCTGCTGCCTAGTGTGATTGTAAGTTCAAAGTAAAAGAAACCAAACATATCCCCACTTTTGTGCATTAAACATCAGCAAGTGACCTGTATTTTATTACAGTACACAGCTGTTTTATCACATAAGTAAATAAATCACCATTGAACCAACTTTGGGAACGAAGATTTTGAATAATAACACAATTAAGTTTTCCCACAAAGTCCAAATAGCCCACTTGCTCATAGTTGCTACAAGCTGTGATTCCCACGTGAAAGATATCAACTTATTTCCTTTTCCTGTCAATCATCGGTACCGAGTGGGGCCCTGGTATGTCAGGTCATGACCTTTCACTCTGGGCATGAGCCTGAAAGCCACTAGTGAATCAACTAGTTTAATTATTTAGGCTGTTTTTAATAAATATAAAAATGTGGCCTTAAATATTTCACATGCTTGTTCAGTTTGGGCTTTCAAGTACCTCTCATCAAGCCCACCAGCCTGAAAGTGTGGTCTTATTGGTAGGAAATCAGTCAATTAATAACCAAACCCAGCTTTTGGAATAAGGTTTATTTTGTTGATTTTGAGCTTCCTGGCTTGGGTATCACTTGCTTGTTGGTTTAGAGGACAGGCTTTTTGTTATCTTTTTTGAACATGAGATCAGACTGTTTTTAATCAACACCAGCAATGGCCTAGTTGCCTACCTCCCACAAAATGATCCTTTAGTACAGATGCCACCGTAGGGTTCACAGTTCTCCAAATAAGGTCTATTTTCTACATCCTCTTCACCTATGGGAAAAAAAAAAAAGAAAAGCAAGCAGGAAGAAATCCAATACAGTAAAGTCCTTATAAAACAATTCTTTAAAAAATACTTTTGAGTAATGTTGACAGCTTTGCTATTAGGTCCCTTAGCAGTGGACAGTTTTATTCCATTTTAGGTCAAAGTGTGATGACAACCCACCTTTGCTAAACTTCCCAACAATCTTTTTCAGCTTGTAACTCCCACAATCTAAAAATCTAGGCCTGAACCCAGCTGCTGATTCTGCCTGATATTTTGCACCACTGCATCAGAAACCTGCAGCAACTACAAACACGTCAGTAGAAAACGAGGATGCCATGGGCAGTGATTTATGATCTACAAACATTTACACTTATTGCTCAACAAACCTTCCAGCTGGTAGACATGGGACAGAATTAAACTTGAGAAACTAATTCATGGTGTCTATTGAAAGAATAAGCCTCTAAACTTGGACTGCCAGAGTTAATTCTGCTTTTGAACATTCCTGAAATGTTCAGAACTTTCCCAGCATCTCTTCGATTTATTCTGTTCTCCTTTCCCCTAGTGCTCTAAGACTTCTCAAGAAAGTGAGTGTGAAGGGCTGTCTCTATTTATAGATGACAAACTAACTCTTATCTTTCTCCCTCCTCTCCCCCCTGCCATGGTCCTGCATCAAAGAGAGGGCTTGTGGAAAGGGAAGAGAGATGCTCTTACTCTGACTTTTCCAATCACTCTCATGGGCTGCCGGGTCTGGAGGAAACATCAGCATGCCAAAATTTGCTTTTCTTTCAAATAGGAGTAACAATCTAAATGATGACATATATCACAAAAATGAGATTGCCACAATGTAGAGATCATTACAGATACTTAAACTGAATTGTGCTTTGTTTGGGACAGTAGAAAACATTTCATCTTGATACTGTTTGAATTCTTCATTTTGCCTTAATGGCTTCAAGGTGTTCACAACAGTATGTCAGAATTTACAATATAATCAAACAGAAGTCAAGTGAAACATTCTATCTTTAGGGAAGAGCAGTGTCCTTGCCTGATAATGCTCCCTCTCAGCAATTTCAGCAAAACTGCTGTAGTCCTGAGAAATCTTTCCAATTCATCTAAGTCTGCGTTTGCTGATGAAAAGCTGCCTTCTAAGAAGTTTTCAATCCGCTTTGCTCAAGATGCATCAGCAGGAGCATGTGTTTGTAACATGTGAGCAACCCCCGAATCTCCCGGTGGATGAGAGATCAAAACCAAAGCATCGATCCAAGGATCTACCACTTTGAAATCAGATATGGAGAAATGCTAAGGAGCAGCAGTGATTCTTAGGGGTTTCAAGTGCATTTAGAGTGCGCGGTATCGCCTGGAACATGCTTCAGTTTGCACTTACCTTATTTAGCTTTTCAAAGGCTGACCTTCCATGCACTAAGTTCAGCGACATAGCAGTCAACCTATTAATGTCCAAGGAAGCTGTGGACCAAATCAGACAGTTTAAATAACTCAGCTGTGAACACAGAGCCCCATTATCATTTCTGTGAGGCTAATCTGAACAGCTGATTCATCTCGAGCAGTTTACTATGGACGGTAAGTCTTCACCGCATCCATTTAAAGTTTTAAATCAGATGAGGGTGAGGAACTCTGCACTCAGACACTATGTTGGGAGGTGCCTCATAAAAGGACAGACAGGCAGAGAGGCTTGTATTAAAGGCCCTTATTTCCCATCATATTTTACTAGCTCTGTTCTGACCTGATTACTGATTTCAGTTGAATAAAAGTATGTAATAATGAAGTAGAGTTGGAAAACTGTGTAGCCTTTATTCCCCTACAACACACATCTCCCTGTTAAACATGTCTCAGCTTTACATGAATCTGATGGGTTTATTCACAGAAGGGCTGTATTTAGCACACGTGCTTCAGTAGCATTACAGAGACAGCACAACTCATGAGAGAACCTAGCCTATGTTTTAGAAAACATACTTATTTTTTTCTTCCTTTGCTGATGAGGGTTCGCACTTTTTCTTACATGAGCCAAAAGGCTGTTGAGCAGAAAAATGCATCCACATCTTCAGCAGTCTCTGACAGATCATGCATTTTGCATACTACCAAAATGTCAACTGGACATGGGAAACCCACATGAGTTCTGAAATCAGGCTGGGAGATGCCAGAAACAATTGCATCTCACAGTTCTTTGACTCTCTCTCATTATGACCATGCAAGGAAAAAGCCATTATAAAACAGGAATGACGTAATTACATTACTCCTTTTCCCTTGGACTATTATTTTGTCTAGTAGGCTGTTGCTTTTTAGGCTTTATATGCCTATTCAGCAATTCCATAAATAAGATTTTCATTATCAACATTGAAATCCCCAACAGTTTTCAGTTCATAATGAGGTTTTCACTGTTCTCAGGCAACGCTTGGAAAAGCCTTTTATATGATAAGATGAAGATGTGAGACAGACTGAGCAAGGTGTATGTGTTGCCAAAGGCATTACTTTCAAACAGTCCTCAGTTTCTTCACTCAAACAGGTGGTGATCAGGTTCTAGCAAAAACAGACTTCAAATTATTTCAGTCACTCAGTCACTGGGGAAAAAAAAAAAGAAAAGACAAAAAAGAGCTGTTACCATAAGCTTCTTTACAGTCTCCAAAGAGGTCAATATAACATGTTTAGAAGAAAATTTCAAGTCTTCCATGGATAAATTATGGCTTCCTGTAGGATATTTCTAACAGTCACCCCCATCCTCTCCCAAGTTTAAAAATGCTAATGCTTAGGAAGTGTGGAAAAAAATAAGATTTTTGAAATGACATAATGAATTAATACATACCACAAATGGTTCCCAACATACACATACATGAATCAAGTATTGGTGAAGATAAAGAGCTCCCAGAGTGCTGAGAAAAGAAGATAAAAGAAAGGCTCAAGCAAAACTGCAGTATCTGAACAGATTATTTGAGAGGAGAAAGCAAGTGTGGTTCAGATTTTATAACTGCCTCTTTACCACACAGTGACAGTGTTCTGGATTCATATACCAACAGTGAAATGTGGGACCAAATTTTGTAGTGAAAGCCAGTCTATATTCGAGGAAGACAAAATATTTCAAATTTAAGCTGACTTGCATGCTTAACAGCCTAATGAGCATTGGAAAGGTCACAAGAAATACAGGAACCTTATGTGACACTATTTTGTAGAAAGGTCAGACATTCTCCTTCAATTAAAATTAAGATGTATTTATACCATTCATACTTTGCATTAAAAAGTAGAGGCTTGGTTCCAGGAGCTGAGAAACTACAACGATCCCTTCTGTATCTGACTTATTTTGAGATGCCAAAATACTCTTGACGAGTGGGAAGAGGTGATGGGGATAAGCAGCCAGTGAAAGGCAAAGCAGCTCCCTGGCTGCTTTACCATTTACTAGAGACCGAATGCATAGAGGGCCCAGACCCAAAAAAGCAAATTAAAATATCCATATAGGGCAGTCTGATGGTGGTAGTAATGCTGTTTTTGAATGTCTAAAGTCACAGAGAGTTTTATGGCTAAATGCCACGATGCTCTTTGAAGATTTAAGAAGCCTTACATTTCATTTGAGATAACATGCTTTTGGAGTTGAATGGCAAGTTCCATAAATTCCTCTTGGATAAAATCTGAAGTAAACATCACAAAGTTTTGCATGGGTTTCTTGCAATTTGTTTTGGAGCTTTTGTGTCAAAGGGGACTGGAAAATGGCTGGCAATGTTTTATTTCACTTACTAAACATCGTTTTTGAGCATACAAGTCTAAGCAAGAAATGTTTGGAGAGCACGACTGTGCTGCAGTTTTTTCTGGAATAAGTGGTAGTTTTAATTAAAACAATTATACAAGTCTTTGTTTTCTTCAACTTGTTTGATTTAGTTGGTTTCTTTAGCAACAAACAAAGCTTTCATGGCTTCTTCACATTTGCACAGAATATTAATGTGGCTGCCTTTGATTTCTTCTTAAGTCCTGTAGACTTAAGCAGTGTATCAGCATTTAAGTCTCAAACACTGCTAAGATCCCATGAGCAGCAGAGATGAGGATGTGGGTATCCCTGCATGTGGGTCAGGACAATCCCAAGCACAAATGGCTTCATGTGATTCTATGTTTCCATGTGATGCTTAGTAACCCAGCTGGGGCAAAATGGGAAGAGAAAGGGCAATCTTAGGTTGCAAAAGGCTACTTCTGTCAGAGAATTTCAAGTTTTCCAATCTCAGCAACCTTCAAAACTTTCTGATCCACTTTATAGTTAGCTCAAACTTATGGAAAAAATAATTTTATAGTGGTGATTTGGTTTTTTTCTTTACAGTTTCTTATTTTCTTCCTTATTTTTTGAAACATTTTTGATCAGCTCTACTACAGCACATCAGGTTTTCCATTGAAACATGTATGCTTGTGTTTAAAATATTAATTCATTTATCTTCAGAAATGTTGACACAAAAGATAAAAATCACTACTAAAAAGAACTGTTTTAATTCTGGTACTTTTCCAAAGGAAAGGGAGCTTAAAAATGCATTTCTCTCTGAAAAAGCAGGTTCAGATTTTGGCTCACATCCGAAATAAAAGTAACAGTAGTGTTTAGTTTCACATCACTAATTCTGCACAGTTTATCCCAACAAAAAAAAGTAATATAAATGGTTGGGCATCGTGGCTGGGCCTCAGAGGTGACATTTAGGGTGGGGAGGGCAGAGTGTGGCAGGCAGCGCTGGGAGTGTCCCAGTTTGACCAGCATGGAGGGTTCAAATCCACCATGTGCCAGGGCAAGAAGCTCACAGATTAATCTCCTGCTGCCTAAAACATACCTTCTCTTAAAATTCATCATTTAAAAGATCTATTTAGTTTATGCCTGTCACTGCTTTTAACATACATAGCTAAACCTTTATATTTTTTTTCAACCGCTTATCCAGAAACCAGTACATTTTCCTTTCTTGAAGCTGCAACTTAATAAAAGCCAAACCATTTCTTTGCAAAGAGTTACAGTTCCTCCCAGACAAGTACATCTAGGTCAGGTTTCAACCTGGCATAAATATTTTATGTTTGAGAACTAAAGGTCTCCAGAAATTGGGGTTCGTATTGGAATGCCTGACGTAGCCTCGACCATACCAGCACATGCGGGTGCTTGCTTTAATAAAAAAGCCCTTAATCTCATTTGGCTCTACCTCACTGGCAGCTTGAAGTACTTGAATCAAACAGTACAGCTGTGAATTGTGACACTGGCTGGATGGAAGCCCAGAAAACTTTTCCCAGAGAAAACCCTTGAGGGAGGGGAAAAAAAGAAAAAAAAAAAAAAAGAAAAGAGAAAGAGAAAAGGAAGAAGGAGAAGGAGGAGGGAAAAAAGCTTCAACAACCAAAATACAATAGGGTCCAAATACAAAAAACCCACAGGCAAACTTTGCCCCCCTCCAACCTGAACCTGAAACCATCCAGAAAACCAAAAGATAAATGGAATTCTTCTTAAAAAGGTTATTTTGTAAGGTAGAAGGGCCAACCTGAGTAGCCCTGAGCAATGGCCCCCATCCATATTTTCTGCACAACAGCAAATAATCAAACTCCAGCAAAGGAATAGGAAAGCTGAATTATACCACTCTTTGAAAATCCATTTAAAAGAAAAAGGAGCTTTGATTTTTGTGAGGAAGAAGAAAAATATCCAACTGAGGAAATTAAAAGAGGGTTGGAAGCACAAGTGCCATAAACCAGACCTAGCACAAGTGTGCTTGCAGTATTTATAATCTTATTTTTGCTTGAATCCTGATGATGATACCTTCCCCTAAAGCAAATAACTGAGCAATAAGGAAAACCAAAACAACAAAACCATAGAAAGCACATCTGAATGGAAGGAAATGTTCTTTTTTAGAAGGCAGCAGCCGTACTCTGGAGTCATAAGGTCAAGAGGTGAATTTCTACTGAAGGAAAACATTAGAGCTGGATATTTCTCATCTGTCAGTCCCATTAAATACCATTTTTTAAGGACTCAGGACTGTGCATTGCGCCTTTCTTCAAGTTAGCAGGATAATAAAGATTCTGTTGCCTTTTGCAGATGTTTAAAGACATGATGTGAAAGACAAATTCTCCAGCTAAAACCCTCAAGAAATGTCACTTCTGTGTCTTACTGAAGGAGCTCCAGCACATTCTCTACATAAACATCTGCCGGAAACATTTCAAAAAGGAGGCTGTTTAAATAATGGCTTTTGTAGGCTCAGTTTGGTGGTTGTTTTTTTTTCTTTTTTAAAGAAAAGAAAACGAATTTGTGGAAAGCTCCCACTTCCAAAGCAACTTTCCTTTGCAAACATGCTTCAGCTAGAATGATCTGAGGAAGCAGCTGTAAAATGAAGAAGAAACGTTGAAAATATTGCTTCAGAACATTCCATATCAATCACACCTCAGAGACATTCATAAATCA